GGAAAATTTGAGAAATGGGGCTAAGCCCAACCAAACTAATGCATGAAAAAGCAATAAAACAGAAGCCAGTCTTCACTCCTCTGCCGGCGGGGCCCGTGGCGGGGGGGGGGGGGGGGGGGGGGGTCCACAAACGGCAGTTAATTAACAAGAAAACGTGATTTCAATCAAAGACACAAGAATTTTGTGGTTTCATGAATCACATGTCAATTAACTTCCGTTATGGACCCAAAAGGGGGACCCTTCCTTTTGTACCTGTGTTTTTTAGTTCTTGTTTGTTCATGGGGATGTCAAATGTAATGGTTCCATGGCTATGAATTTCTGTAAAAGAGGATGCAGCTGGATTCTTTTTCAAAATTTATACGCAAACAAAGAGAATTATTCCTCGTACATAAATTAATTCTACCATCTGTGCAAACATCAGCAATGTCACGTTAGATTTAGATATCTTGTGTAAAATGATGTGTAGACAAAAGAAGTGGCATAGAAACAGCAATATAATAGTATGTGTGTTCTAATAGTAATTCTCACAAAGTAACCAAACTTTTAAAACTTGGCTTAACAAACTTCTGCTGTTCTGCTTATAATAAATAGTAATCACTCAAAAGTAAAAACATACAGTAGCAGTAAAAAATCCTTGCTGCAATTTGCCCAGAGCTGAGTCAATAGGAATATTGCTATACATCGGACAAATTAGATTTGCACAAAATATTTTGTCTATTAGGAAAATTTGACCATTCACTATTAAACATTCTATATTATAGGTTATAATGATAAATAAAGTAATTCTTAATTTTCAATAAAACATACATTTAAGTCATATTTATTACATTCACTTTGCTTTATCCATAGCCAAAAGTATGATTTTCGAGAATCAAGACCAAATGGGGTGCCTCCCCCTATATGTAATAGGAAGCTTTCCAATTGTCTATGTTTTAATAATGGCCCTTAACAGTGTCAAACAGCTTCACAATGGTGACCCTATAAACTAGGGATCTATATGCTCTCAGACACAGGCATTGACTTATATTCCATTTACTATTGACTGGACATATGCATAATTGTTATCACCGAATATTACATGTACCCTCAAAGTTTAAAACCATGATTTGTCCTCCATGAAATTGCATGCCATCATCTACGAGAAACTATGGTTATTGCTGGTTCAGCTGAAGACAAAATCATTTCTTGAGGGAAACTAGTACTAGCTCATTGGCTTCACTTCTGATCCTATTTCTATGCTGAGCAAGAAACAGCATAAAACATGCGCTGAAATGGCTTGCTTTACTAGCCCTTTATCTTCATCAGCCCTTTTTCGTACAAAGAAGCAAAAAAAAAAAAAAAAAAAAAAGTAAGGCCTCTCTCATTTTAGTATTTGGATTTGATGTTCTTTATAAGAGCATCTCTAATGGAGGTTGTTTATAAGCAATTTCCTGTACCACATCATTGTCACATTAACTCTGGTCCACTTTATAAGTTACTTAAATTTAAGCAATTCATAAAGTAGGACAAAGCTGATGTGACAGTGATGTGGCGCAAGAATTGCTTATAAACAACCTCTATTGGAGATGCTCTAACGTAAAATACTTTTACACTTAATTAATTACAATTTATTATACAAACATGTTTAGTTATTTATTATAAAAGTCATCAAATTTATTATAGAAACATGTTTAATTATTTATTGTAAAAGTCATTAAATCTATCTAAATATGTAAATATTATATATGATTGATTAATAATTCATATTATTAAAATAAGAAAATAAATATAAATTTATAAATATATATAAAATCTTTATTAGTACGAAACTTTTTAATGATTACTAAAAATGAATGCATGAGGACTCTAATCGACACAAAATCAAAATAAATAATTTATTTTCTCTTGTATGTTTGGACACATAGAAAAAATTTAAAATGTAATTTTTTAAAAATTATCAAATTCTTTTCATAGATAGTCTTTAAAAAAATAATAGGCACAATCGAACACTAATACAGTTAAGTTCTCCACCAATTTAGTTCAATTAAGTAAAACGCGTAATTTTTACAATTAATTTGACAGTAAAGAAAAATTAACTTACACTTTAGTCACCTTTACATCTTTCAAATTTAGGCACTGTGCTGTGCAAAATTAACTTACACGGATGTGAATTATAGTACTCACCTTGAAATAATTGGGCTAACCATATTATGGATACTTTGGGGTTGAATTAAATAGTATGATGAAGAGCATTATGTGCAAAATTGCATAGGTCCAATTCATTACTTTCTAACATATCCACATAGAAAGGAACTAAATAGAAAATGGTCTTGCAAATCATGGATTTGTGAGTAGTAATGTTTTAATATTGTTGATTTTTTTGTTGTCGGTGTTGGCTGACAAAGCCTGTATTGCCTTTCCTCGTAGGCATTAGATTTTGAGAGGGTTGTCTTGTCTTGTCCCTCCCCGCAACACTATAAAACCATGTAACACACAAAATTTAATTTGAATTTACATGATGAATAAGCATCTTAATATCTTATACTAAAACAGAATTGACCCAACACCACGTGGAGGGGGACAGAAGACAGAAAAGACCGTTGCGAGATCTCAATGCTCATAGTATTATCATAATATAACTTCGTTAAAATAAGTCCATATTCTTAAGGCACCAGACAGGAATTCTAAGATGAGTTTAATGTACATCGTAAAGTTACATAATTAATTAATATTCTATTCATTATATAATAATGGTTTCATAAAATATTGATTACATTAATTTTAAATTATTATAAATTTAAAAGTAAAAGTAATTATAAAATTTATATAAAAATATTTATCATTAATTATTACGTTAAAAATTGACCTATATTAACAAAAAAAAATTAATAAAATTAGATTAAGAAAAATAATATTTTAATCATCCTTAAAATATTGTAAAAAATAATAACAGATATTTAACAATAAATTATTATCAACATATGTGAAAGAAAAAAAATCATACAAAGGTGAACCAACTAGTACATGATAATGATCATAATAACATGATTTGTAATAAAAAGTTATAATAACATGATTTATGGAATTATTAATTGTAATAAATAATGTCTCATGATTTACGAGATCACATTAAGAAATAAGAAATTTATTCCTATTCCTAGAACATAATTTTAGTATAAATAAGAAATCTCAAACTCATAAGAAAAATATAATACATTTTTAAATGTTCTAACTTTAGACAAACAATTAAATTATTTCTAACTATTTTTCATACCCAAAAAATATATAATTTTTAAGATAATTATCATAAAATTAAACATCATATGATTCATGACAACATAAAAATATTTTACATTAATATATTTTATTTGTCAGAAACTTGAAGCTTAAAATAATATATTTTATTTGTCAGAAACTTGAAGATTGAAGTAATATACGTAGAAATAACTTTTTAAAAGATGATTTTGTTGGATTAAAAAATTAAATAATTTTATAAAATTGAGTTAAATTTAAACTTAAAATTAAGACTATTATTTTTAAAATAAATGATCTAATGAAAAAAAATAGAAATAATATACAAAACAAAACTTATAAACAATTTTTTAATTTGATTAAAATAAGAATTTTACATTATTAATTTACATTAAATTTTAATATAAAGTTTTGTTATATGTTTATTTTTCATTTTTTTTTACAAAAAGACATAATTCTTTTCAATTAGATCGGTAAAGTAATATTTCAAGTCCCAATTTCATGTTAAAAAAATGAGCTCTAATCTTTAATAGAGAGTATAAATACGGAAACAATAAATAATATTATATGTTTTACTGGTATAAAACTTTAATTACATTTGAAACATAATAACAAAAACAGCTGATTGAATATGATCATTCAAGAAAGAATAAACGATAAAAAAATGAATCTGAAGAGATTCCCTACTCCATTCATTCCACCGTCACTAATAAAGTGGTTGTGGTGATATGATTGATACTCATCATTTCATTCCCTTTCCTCAAACCTCAATCTTCCATTCCCAATCCCAATCCCAATCCCAATCATCTCTCTTCAATCAAGTGTTTACTGCCTCACTCAATAATCATCTTAACCTTTTTCTAGATCCACCATACATATACTCTTCTTAATTTGTTAATTGTTGTTATCATACAAAGTTTGCAGTTTGCAGTTTGCAGTTTGTAGTTTGTAGTGCAAGTAGTAGCCTGTTCTGTTGTGTGTCTCAATGACTCAATCTCAACTCAAAAAGCTATGTTATGTTATGTTATGTTATGTACAAGACAATTGACAAAAACATCATTACCACAATTCACAACCCTCCCAATTCTCTCTCCTTAAAAAAAGCAGATTACTTTGCCTCCTATTCCGTGCATTTTTCCCTTCTAATTTGACTTTCCATCCCCACAAAAACCATACCATATGGCAAAAGACCAAGACCAGGTTAGCACTTAACACCCTCTTTCATCTACTAATATAATAACAAATAAGCACCACCTTGATGAATTACATAATTACATGACATGCATGTTTTTGTGATTGTGATCTGCACTTCATAGATCCATGATTGCATCTGGTTGGTGTTGTATAGAAAACTAATAACATTTTGCATGTCGCAGTGGACATTGCAGGGCAGAGGCCAAGAGAAGGAATTGGAACTCGAGAGTGGGGAGTCTGAGGCTGAGATTGAGGTCCCATTGCCTCTCACTGTGACTTCTCGGGTATCAAATTGTTATCTTTTTTTCCTTTTATGACATTTTGAAACTGCATGGCATGGATCAATGACAATGATGAGAAACACTGTTTGGGGAATGCAGGCTTTGTATATGTTGGGAGATATCACAGGAGGGCATGCGTTTAGGTTCACGCAATGGCTCCAAATTGTTCGTAAACGCACTGCAAACTATCGTTATTCTGGCTTCCCTCACCGCACTTCCACCACCATGCTTTCTACGTCTTGGTTAGTAAATTAATGCTACTTATTACCATCCCCTTTCATTGCTTCTGTTAACTTGTACAGTACTGTGTAAGCCATTTGTTGTGTATGTTATATAGCTTTACTTTTAGGGATGGGAAAACAACAGGGGTGGGCTTAGCGAAATTGCAGTCCCTAACAACCTAGTGAACAAAGGTTCGAATTCCTACTAAGAGAAATGCCCATATTAGTGTCTGAGAGTGAAAAAATTATTTAGTGGTTCTGGACCTCATAATTCTTAATTATTCTCTACATAACATGTAATAACAGGTAATCAAGTGTCATTAATTCTTGTAAATTAAAAAACTTAGATGCATGTCATGTAAAGATTAGTTTTGGAACCATGGACAGCGGTTAATCCTAAACTACCTAATAATTTCTTCGAACAAGATTTTCTATAACAAAGAATAACTATGGGTTGGGGAACAAAAAGTAAAAGGTTTTAAGGATGGGGTGGTGACAAATGGGGCATATAGTTAACAAGTGAAGTTTGTGGCTGTTACTAATGCTCATGGTTTGTGTCCAGCATCAAAGAACCGTTGGGGGATTCAAAATTGAACCTGCACCCTGATCAGACAGAAAGCTTGTGGGAGAGGCTTGGGAAGGCTGCAATGTTGGATGTTGAATCGAGCTCCTTTTCTTGGGACATGCTCTCTTCACTGCACCACACTGAACACAGCAGTAGCAATGAACATTCTGAGGATGAGATGAACAAAGCTCTTGAGGTTCATCGCATTCTATAATTGTTGTGTACAAACACTAGTACAATAAATACTTTGTGGTTAATTCAATGATGAGGGGTGAATGGAAAAAAGGGCGGTGCTTTAGATGCAACTTGTGTGTCATGGATTGCTAACATAGGTTTTACATGCAATATGGATATCCGTTCTGGATTTTGTCTGTGTGCCCCTTCTATTTATGGCCATAAACTTGATCCCATAATTTTGCTTTAGCTTAGTCAGATACAGAGAGAAAATGTGGTTGAGTATGTTGATAATTGTTAATTTTAGAAGTTATAAAGAATAATGATTTCTTGCTGATATAGCTTTTGTACTATAAATGCATTCTAGTGGAGAATTAATATCTATTTAGATGGGATTTTTTTCGGACAAACATTATATTAATTATGTATTGTATTTTCTTTATAGTAACAAATTAGAAAAAGTAAATATACATCAAATGTGTATTTTCTTAATTTCTGTCTTAATGTCTCCTCAGTTGTGTGCACATAGGTAACTGTAAACTCAGGAGGAGTTGTCTTCTTTGCCTTTTTCAATTGCCTTGGGAATGCTGGTGCTTGTCCAAAAGAAGCAGCAGCTGTTATAAAGATATCATCATCAAGAATGGCAACACAGTCTGAACGCCTTGGCTATGAATTTGCCAAGTGGTTGGGAGTCCAAACTCCACAGGTTGTTTCCCTTATGTTTTATAACTCAAGTACCACATTGCAAGTTTAAGCTATTAGACTATACTTCTACCATATTCATTCTCATTTATTAAATGGAAGATGCAGGGTAGAGTCATTCACAATACCTGTTCAGAATGGCAACAAATAAAGGAAGCTACAGAAAAAGCTAGAGAAGCAGCAAATTCTGAGGGTGATGAAATTGGTGAAATGACATGTTTTGAACTTTTGGAAGCACTTGAGCTTAGTCGATGTCTCTTTTTCATGAGGTATGATCCATCTGATTTTAATTAGTTCAGGTTTATTTATAACACAGCAACACAGAATACCTTTGCTTGCTTTGTCGCTTCCAATAACTCTGGTTTAAGTTAAGTGGACATTGCCAATGTGATGCTTCTGATTTTACTTTTTCCATGGAATTTCAGTAAGCTCAGTGTAGGAATCTGTTTGACTGAGCTCGACAAGCCAAAAGCAAATCTTTATAATAGATTATTGATCTTTCTCATTTACAAAAGTCCCTTCACCTTGTGTGACAAAGCAACTGTCATCCCTGATTCTTGTGTAATTTTCTTGAGTTGGCCGGTTTCCCAAGCATGCTAAATAGAAGGCAGTTTTTCCTAGCCTTTGTAGGAAAAGTGGAAAACCAATGGATGGTTTATTTTTGGAAATTCTGACTGGATTTTTAATGTCCCTATCATTCCCTTTTACCACACTGAGCATCAAGATTGCCTGGGTAGGAAGCTCTAGTCTTTGGACAAAAGAAGTCTTTATAATGGTTTCCACTATTTAAAAAATGACTCTTTTTAAATAAACTTCTTCGTAAGTACTTATAAGAAAAGAAAATAAGAAAGTAAAATAAATTGAATTTCTTATTGAAGTCTTAACCAAACTTTTATAAAGGTGAAAAATTCAGTTCATTTTACTTATTTTCTTCTATTATAAATGCTTATGGAGAAGTTTATCCAAATTGGTATCAAGGTAAGGGCATGTTAAAAAAAATAAGATTCATGGTATTCCCATTCTGAAAATAGATGTACACAAAATATCAAACTCTTTGATTTTATCACTTTTGCCACTTAATGGTGATTTTGGGTTTCCAGTGATATGTTTGTTTATGATTGGACTTGGTGTTGTAATTTCTAATGTGGCTTCTGTGTTGTCAAAGTTAATGCAAGTAGGAGACCATCCAAGAAATGTTATTTTCAGATAAATTTCAATGTTACACTAACAATGTTTTGACAAGTGGGAACCACCAAGAAATAACTATACTGGAAGTTGGCACCCTGAAAAGGAAATATTTTATTTATACCACATTTGTGTGCGTTATTGAGAGCAAGTTACCAATTCCTGCTGTCACTAA